TTCAGACAAGAGCCAGACGTAATCCCAGGAACAGAAATGTTGTCTTTAAGACGCTACGAGAGGTGATGGAAGCCCAGGAAGAGAAGGCGTTGCCTGGAGTGGGACTGGAGCAGGAAGCATGAAGAGTTGAGGTTTGCACAGAGGTACACGCGTGTGCATACATACACACGCGCGCACACAGGCGCTTCCTGTCCCTGCCTCCCTCTCATTTCTTGTCTCGCTTCATCTTGGTGCTTTAAAACTGAAATAACGACTCTTTTTCATCTTTCCTTCCGAGAGCTTACAGAGGAAGTGACTCCGTAAAACCGGCCGCCAGAAAGCCAGGAAACAAGACCTCCGAAGCCGGGAGCGTTTCAGTGACCCAGTAGCGAGCGCGCCTTCGGCTCCGTGCAAAGCTGGGCCGAGGCAGGGCGGATACCCCGCCCGCCTTCTCCATGCAGGGATCGTGCTGGGCGGTGAAGCCGCTCGGGGTCAGAAGCTCACGCCCTGTCTCAGTCCCCAAATCAACCCCACCAAGTAAAGAACTCAGCCAGAGTCGTCTAAGTCTTGCCTCTTCCGGCCTATGTGACTTTACGCAAATCTAAAACCTCTATGAACCTGTTTCCTTATCTGTAACCGGGTGGAGAAATGACTGGGTGGGAAGGCATTGTGCAAGTAGCAGGCGTTTAGCAAGCAAGCCTTCCCCCGCTGTTTATTTAAAGTTCACTTAAGGATAAAAAGCCGGGGATCCCGGGCTGGGTCTCCCACCTCTCCACTCCAACTTTCCTTCAGGTCATGCTTAGGGAAGGTGTCCCCTCCAAATCACCCAATGCCTCTAAGATGTTGGCCCCCGGCCTTGAAGAACTAGTTTGCAGGGTACTGGGACGCCGCGGCTAGAAAGACGCCAGGAAGCTGCGCGCCCACCGTGCCGAGAGGAAGAAAGCGAAGGGGCGCTCCGAGAGCTCTATTCGGTGTCTCCAACAACACATTGGGGTCAAGTGCGCAGCCAGCCTCGCGGAGCCCGGCCCCAGTCGCAGGCCCGGCGGCGTGGACCCGCGCCCCGCCACCCACGCGCCTTCCAGGCGGGGCGCTCGCGGGCCTGGCCCACGCGGTGGGCGGGGCAACTCGGGGCCTTTGTGTTCAAAACACCCAATGGGCGGTGGCGGAGGGCGGGGCCGGCGGGCGGGGCCTG